GACATTGAATGTATTAAAAAACTAATTGAGTACAACTCGTCGAACATTTTTAGATGCAAATGTATTAATCAAGTCTGCATAATTTATGTTATCAATGAATTTCATCTCAATTGATAACATAGTTAATCTAGCCAACCTTTTCCGAGACATGGTTGAAAATGTACTCTCCAAAATGGCTCTTTTATTATTCAAAATCAAGTACTACGTACCTATTAATGTTTCCGGTTTGATTGGAAGCATTTGCTAAATCTAGACAGAAATCGCCTATCTCACAATAAAAATATTATGGAATCGACAGTTTGACACAAATTTAACACAGCTCGACATAGGTTTTGTGCCAAATAGTTTGTATCAAAATGTTTTTTTTTGCATGAATTTGACATATCTTTGTCAAATCTCGTATGAATTTTGACAAATCTTGTAAAAAATATTTGTTGTATTCTTTCTGTAGTGCCTGATCGAAGCTTTTTCTCTGGCAAAATAAAACATTCTCATGATTAAACCAAAGTCTGCTATAGTTTTTTTTTTGAAGAAAGTCTGCTATAGCCTATATAGATCGATGGCGTTGTTGCTAAAAGATGGTCATTTTAGGGATGTTTGTAACTGATTCTGTTTCTGCTTCTTTTTTTTAAAGCAGAAGCAGAATCAGAATCAGTTTTCAGAAGCTGGTACCCCCAGCTTCTAAAAAAACTGATTTGGAGAGTAAATTAGAGCTCCAGAAGTGCTTCTGGAATTTCACCCAAACACTCCAACTTCTGCTTCTGCTCCCTGAAAGAGCAGAATCAGTTTTGAGAATCAGTTCCAAACACCCTTAATAATATAAATTTGCACACTTTCTTTTAACGCTTTCAATCAAATCAATGAAATTAAAAACAATTTTATCATATTCAACTACTTCAGCCACTACACGTCTTATTGTGCTCCAATACAAATATCCTTTCATTTCATCTACTTTTCATTTTCTTCTTTGCTTTATAGTTCAACATATTTGCTGTATTTTAAAGTACATGTGTTTTCAATCAAATTCAATTTTTTTGGATGATAATTCAAATTCAATTTTCTAATCAAATTTGATCTAGTTTGGTCGCTTAATGTTTGTTATAATTTAATCTTTTGTTCGTTCAAATCAAGTTTGATATGCTACTAGAACCACTTCATGTGAAAACATTATTAAAACATTATTAAAAGATAGCATCTCTTACAACTTCAATAGTTCAATTCTCATACGCTCTGTCAGATAGGAGCGTAAGAGACTCTTAGGATTGGAGATTCAATCTTTTGAAACAAATTATTAAAACAGACTACTTCACGTACATTAAATGTATAACGAACTAAATTCGGATAAGCGGAAAATCATTTTGGCCAAATTGATTATTGTCGAAAAAATAGAGATTCAAAATATGTATGAATGCTAAATGATGATTTTTTGAATTTTTAATCCTAACGTCATCAATTCAAATCAGGCCGTTTGAAATTAGTGGTTGAAACAAAAGTAGTAGATAATAATATAATTAGTAATTATTAGAGTAAATTTAGTGATCATGATTGTCTTCAACTCTATCATTAGTGATTATGAAAAACCATTATAGTAACATAATTTTGTGCATTAGTTATAAAAACCTCTTAAATTACAATAAATAATTGTACAATTCAAAATCAGAAGAGATTAGAAACTTTAAATAAGAGATGAGGCTTCTAACCATTTGTACTTTCGGTCTTCTGATATGATTCGTGGAAAAGGTTGCTTGAAATAAAATTAATGTCTTGTTGGAAGGGCGTGCAATACTTTTGGAGAGAAATGGTGGCGAGATTGTGGGAATCAACCATTCTTGGTGTACACGTTTTTGTACCCATCAGTACACGCATGTGTCTGTGAGAGTTTTTTTTTGTCTGTGAAGCGCGGTCCACAGACATAAGTTCGCTTGTTTTGTCTGTGGAAAATTTCACAGACAAAACAAACCAGCTTTTGTCTGTGGACCGCACTTCACAGACAAAAAAAAACTCTCACAGACACATGCGTGTACTGATGGGTACAAAAACGTGTACAAAAGGAATTTTTGTTGTGGGAATAGGCATCACACGCTCCGACATCGTTGACTTTTGTGTACACGGCGTTGACAGTCAATATCAAAAAAATTGGGGCAATGGCTAATGGTTATGCACTTATGCCGCTATTTGAGAAGTTCTTCCTCTGCACACGAGACGTGTACACACCAGTTAGGGACTTAGGGGTTTTAAATGTATATACAAACAATTATCTCAAAATATCTCCACTTTTTGATCAATTGTCGATATACACAAACAATTAGGAGGCGTTACTACAAAAAATCACAGGATTGACACGGAATTTAGCACGGATTTACCGATTTTTCATGCCAAATAGTTCGTGCCAAAGCGTTTTTGGCACAGATTTGACATATCCATGTCAAATTCCCTGTCAAATCCCTACCAAAATCTCTACCAATCCTGTGTTTTTTTGTAGCGCGTCTACAAAAAAAACTTGTAAAATAGCATGTATAAAAGAATTTTCTCAAGCTATATGTGTATGCATCTATTTTCATACAACATTTGTCCATCTTTTTATAGATAACATTTTGGTTCTTTGCCATTGGTCTTTAATTTGAACGGACATACGACCTCAGCTCGTTTCTGTAATAATACAAATCCTATCTTACTATATATAGGAAATGGTATAATAAATCAACATTACGGAATATTAGTTAGCCTAATAACAAAGCTAATAAAAAGTTGAAGTCGTCATTCTCACAACTCAATCTCAACTTATAGCTATACAAATTTGATACCTTTAAGCAACTTCATAGGATGCTTCTTCAAAGTCCTTATCTTCTCTCACAAGCTATGTATAGTATCTTCCAAACAGCCAGCGTTGCATTTTTAAATCCCAAATCATTTCACTCGGTGTCCTATATATATATATTAATTATAATCCATGATGGAAGAGTTGTTTTTCTTTTTTCACTGATAAATTAAATCAATCACGTACACGTTGGATTTAATTTATGTGTGTGGTGTATTCATTTTTGGATACTTATATTGGTTGTAGCCTCGTGTAGGACTATTCTACCGCGAAATTATCATGAAATTAAAAGGCTTTAATAATGTTAATCAAAAGTGTACTTCGAATTCCATATGATTTAGGAAATATATATATATTTTCCATTGATCAACAACAGGCAATTGTAGTATGTGAGACTGCATTTTAATGAGTACACATTTTTAAAACATCCTCGGCATTTGTTTATCAACTCATTCAATTGAGCCTTTCTATAATAAGATGTAAAAGTCATCATACCCGCACAGGTAGCTCAATTGATTCAGTGGTTGGAAATTTGGAACAATGATGAAGGTTCGAAACCTGTAACAGCTGTGTGGAGGTTACAACTCCTGCGTGCTGGGCTGGACCTCTGGTGCGCACGGATATAAGGCCTACCATCATTGGGCTGACTGAGTCACCGTGACTTAGAATGTTTTCTTTTGGACTGTTTTCAATCCCAGATCAGACAAGACTAGACCAGATCAAACCAGACCATATCAGATCAGACTTTCGTAGTTATAAAATACACAGAGACCAGACGTTTACCAGATCAGACCAGACTAGCAAATTTCATTCCAAAAGAAAATATCATTACTCCTCCACCATTCTGTCGAATCGGGGTGTGAGGGCTCCTGGGGTGAGAGATTCTACCTTTTGGAATAATGTAAATGTCACGACAAGTTTTTGCTTTACAGAATTACAGCATAAGAATTTGTCATTTCATTACAGTTCCCGAAACAATGAGTTTATGATTGAAGAAATCAATATTTATTTTTTGAGATAGTTTTAGGACAAAAGTGAGCGCCATACAGAAACTGTAAAGTAAACATAATCCTTAATGAATAATGAGACCGGCCTATTTGTTCAACTTAATTATTTTTATAATATTATTGGAAGAATTTGATTTTGCAATTTATGTTTTGGGCGATTTTAGATTTTACGAAGGTTCTTCATGCAATTTCAGTATGCACGAATTTTTCGTTTTATACTAGTATTAAATTAAATGTTATTTTAAGAATACTCAAATCAACTCCAATCCATGATCTCTATTTGATACATCCCCTATAATTCGGGAAAGGACAATGTTTAAAGTATAGTAAGTCAATTACCTACGAAGTATATTTAGAGCATTCCGCTTTATTTGAATGAAAAGATTGGAATTGATTGCATAAAAAAATAAACGTTTGTAATTAAAGCGCTTAGTTAAAACACTTTATGCTACCAAAAATTATGAAATAATGATTAATCGAAATAAAGGTAGTGAATAATTGCGCTCAACTCTATTACTTTGTTATCATTTGATCGATTCATTCAATTTGTGTTCAACTCTATTACTTTGTTATCATTTGATCGATTCATTCAATTTGTGTTCAACTCTATTACTTGTTATCATTTGATCGATTCATTCAATTTTAATATTAACAAACAAACTCTTAATCGTGTTTGATAAGGAGTAATATGTTAGTCATACGGAGTAGTTTTTTTGTAAGAATTACGCTAGAAGTACATACATTATTTAACGCATCACATTATTATTATTATTACTCCCTCCGGTTCTTTTTAAACTTCAGTGTTTGACTTCACAGTTATTAAGGAAATAAAGTTGACTTTACTGTAGAGTACACTGTTGAGACACTGTTTGGCACTGTTTGGCACTGTTGAGACACTGTTTGGCACTGTTGAGACACTGTTTGGCACTGTTTGGGTGTAGATTTCTTTGCCAAATAAGGAAATAAGGAAGTGTGAAGTTTATTTTGGACCGTCCCAAAAAGGAAAGTGAGAAGTTTATTTAGAAACGGAGGGAGTATTATTTTTTGAGTAAGCACATCACATTATTTGTAAGTTTCTTCTGTGTACTTCTAACATTTTTTTGTTTGTAAAAATACCAATTTCTCACATCAGTTCTTAGAATCAATTTCTATTTTGAAAAAAAATACGTAGTAAAGAAAGATACGCGTAACGTTGCAAACTTTTTTTTGAAGCTTGTTTGAATTACCAATAAGTAAAAAAAAAAGATGAAAATGTTTCGTTTTTTTTCGTCATCGTCTACAGTAATAATTCGGGGTAATAATCCAGAGCGAAAGACCATTCAAAACGGTACACATGAAAACAGAGGCAAAACAGAGGCCTCAACTTTAAAAAAATTACACCGTCTGAATGAGTAAATCACACACTAAACAAACCCGCAGAAAACCAGGAACCAATCAAGCCCTGATCCTGAAGCACTTATTAGTCTGGTGGTGGTGGTTATGGTGGTGATGGTGGTGGTGCGACGTCTCCTTATCGATCAACCCCTGGACTTGTCGAAACTCCTCCACGTGGCAGGGGATGTTGATCGGGCCGTCGTGGTGGAATCCGTACTCCTCCTCCGCCTCCTTCAACAGCTGCCGGAACAGCGGGTGGTTGAAGTAGTCGACGGGGACGATGAAGCGCTGCTGCTCCTCCGCCTGCCCCACCATGATCGCCAGACACCCCCGCGGTATATCCTTCAGATCGTCCTTCCTGCTGTTCCCCCCATGGAAGTGAATCTGGAAAACGTGGTGGTGGTGGTTCTTCTCGCCGCTACCCATGGCTGCCGCCGGCAATTTGAGGGTGTAATAGATCGATCCAAGGAGTGAAATCACGAAAGAGGAAGGAGATTTGAAAGGTTATAAGGAGATGAGAGAGAAGGGCCAAGGATCGGAGGCGGAGATGGTGAGATTGAAGAGGGTGAGAGAAGCCTCTGTAAGAGATCTGGGAACGTTGCTCATAATTATCTGTGATGAATCGGTTGGATTTGGGGTTTGGTGAGAAGGGATCGAGAAGGTGATTTATAGGTCAATTAATGAAATTAATTTGGTTTCTGTGTCATTTAATTTAATTAATTAATTGGCATATAAGGAGGGAGTGGAGAATCATCCTATATTTTGGCGAATCAACCTTGGCAGAAAGCGAGTGGGTGGGTCAACTTACGATATCTTGCCGTTTGCTTTTTTATTTTTTTTCATTGTTAGTTGCTTTTCTTTTACGGAAAGAGGCTTATCGACGATGATATGACTTTTTTGTCAAAATAATGATAAAAACGACGACTTTCCAGTTTCCACTACTCCTTCCAAAATACATTTATATGCACTATATAAATACAAAATAATCCATCCAAACGTATACTTCAAACGTCATTTAAGAAGTTAGGGTGTATTTGGGATTGTTTGTGTTTTTCAAAAGTAATTTTTTAAGAGATTATTGGAAAAAATGATTTGTAATAAAAGTTGGTAGTGTTTGAGAGTAGAAGTGATTTTAATTAAAATGTAAAAGTTGGAGTGTTAGATAAAAGAGTGATTTTTGATGTAATAAATTGTTGGAATACAAGAATACCCCCAAATTAAATATTGAATCAAAAAATCAAAGTGAGTAATGGAATGAGTTTTTTCCCGAAATAATGCTAATTAAATAAATAATTTCTAAAATACTGTTGGGTTAAAAATAATTCTCAAAGTACTGTCGGGTTAACTGTGGTTAAGGAAAGACGCTACTTGAAGTGGCGGCTCTTCTCTTACGGCACATTTTGTACATATATAAAACGTAGTATGTTTCAACAATTTTTTAACTATCTTCCCGATTGAATTTTGAGCTGAAATTTGGTATGAATAAACTAGACTTGATGAAGAACATGTCCAAAAAAATCATCAAAAAAATTCAGCGGGAAAACTCTCTGATGGTGTTGTCCGCACAGGGGTTCCGGTCAGGACGTCGTGACAGGAATGAGACATTTTTATGAAATTTGAGTTGCTTCTGAGTCGGATTTTTTGATAAAATTTGGTGATCGTGTTCTTCCTAAAGTGTAGGTTATGCTCACTGAATTTCAGATTAAAATTAAATCAAGAAGTTACTTAAATAATTTATTGAAAAAAATGCATTTTTAGACCAAAAGAAATTATACGATTTTTAAAAATTTATTTAACTAACTTCCCGATTGAATTTTAATCTAAAATTTGGTGGACATAATCTACATTTCATAGGAACATGCTCACCAAATTTCATCAAAAAAATTCGACCCGGAAATAGCTCAAATGAAATAGGCCTAAAATTGCAACTTTTAGGCCAACCTTACATGACATTTTCAGAAGGCACATGACACATTTTTTGGCACAAAAATTTTAGAAATATTGCAACTAGATCGTTTGGTATATTATTTCCCGGAAGCAATATTTTATAATTTCTTATTGTTTCATATTTGTTGATAATTTATCCATAAGTCATCATGTTTTAGCTGCATGTGTTATATATGATATGCAATTCCATTTTTACATTGCTTTGAGCATTTCTATCAATAGTTTGTAACTTTGTATGTTGTAGGATTACACATGCTTCTCTAGATTACAGAATTTGAATTTACCATTGTCTTCCAGACACGAGCTCAAGTAAATCGGGCGAAAGTGTGATTATGCAATTGAAACTTAGAGTAATAGTACCGGTTGCTAAAGTTGATATGAGTGTTGAAACTATTTCCAATGGCCATAAACTTCCCAAAGAGAGTTCATATTTATTTAGTAAGTGGAAGAGAAAGAATTGTTTGTAAGGGCATAATGATGACAGTGATAGCTCGAATTTGCAGTTGGGTCCTTTCAATCGGAAGTTAGTTAAATAAATTTTTGAAAATTGCACAATCTTTTAGGCCTAAAAATGCAGTTTTTTTCAATAAATAATTTAACTAACTTAGCTTCTTGATTTAATTTTAATCTGAAATTCGTGAACATAACCTACACTTTAGGAAGAACATGATCACCAAATGTCATCAAAAAATTCAACTCGGAAGCACCTCAAATTTCATAAAAATGTCATATTCCTGTCACGACGTCTTGACCGGAACCCCCGTGCGAACAACACTATCAGAGGGTCTTCTCGGTGAATTTTTTTGATGAATGTTTTTGAACATGTTTCTCATCAAGTCTAGTTTATTCATACCAAATTTCAGCTCAAAATTCAATCGGGAAGATAGTTAAAAAATTGTTGAAACATACTACGTTTTATATATGTAAAAAATGTGCTGTAAGAGAAGAGCCGCCACTTGGAGTGGCGGCTTTTGTACTTTAAAAGAAGAGCCGCCACTTCAAGTGGCGGCTTTCCTTAACCACAGTTAACCCGGCAGTATTTTGAGAATTATTTTTTATTCCAACAGTATTTTGAGAATTACTCCGTATTTATTTAATTAGCATTATTTCGAGGAAAAAATCTAATGGAAGAGATAAAGCTGACTCCGTTTGACCCAAAATAAATATTCAAAGTGAGTATTGAATAACCCCAAAAAATCCCTCTTTCCAACGCCGTTCACATCTGCATTGGTTTGGCCGGAAGTGTTCTGCAAGAACTCAAAATCGAATTCATGGTAGCCTAGCTGCAGCGTACGACCTCAAGATGAGGGCACTGTGAGATGGTCATTTCACGGATGCTGAGGACGGTGGTGAGCGTCGCCGATGGTCGCTGCAACTCTATGGCAGCTCATCAACAACGACCATTCGTCAGACATGAGGCATCTACGGAATGGGTATTTTGGGGTTAATGGAATATATTTACCTAATAACTACCCTAATAGTTGAACTTATTTACTAAAATACCAACAAGTAGATAAAGCATCTCATAACATGCTTTCAACTTTTGGCTTATATGTGCTTAAACTTAAGCACAAGTTGCTCTTAAAAAAACACCTTTTTAACTTTTTCCAAAGCTAAAAGCAGAAAAAATGCTTAACAAAGCCCTTGCAAGCACTGCCTTATATACGATAAAATACTAAGTATTTGTTATTACTAGTGAAGTAACTCGCTTGGTTGCATGGATACGTTTTAAAAAAATGTGTCCTCATTAAAATGCACTCTTACATACTACAATTGCGTGCTGTTGATCAATGAATTAACTTTGAAAATATAAATATTCCTCATCAATATGGTGTATTTTCAAATAATTCACCTCATCAATAAGGTGTATATGCATACTTATTTTATTATGAAAACTATTAATTTGATTCTCATACTATCATAGAAATGTTAATTAGGTCTTCGTACTTATGATGTTTTCTTTTGGAGTGTTTTCAGTTCTAGACCAGACCAGACTTAACAGACCAGACCAGACTTAAACAGACCAGACCAGACTTGAATATTTATAAAATACACTGAGACCAGACGTTTATCAGACCAGTTCAGATCAGACCAGACTAGATTTTACCACAAATTTGAATAATTTCACAAGTGGAAACATTTATGATCGATTTAGGTATAGTTATGATACTGATTTGATTTATTTAAGAATTAAGGTACTAAAATGCAACAATATCAATAATTAAGGTACCATTTATGCATTTCACGTTTTGCACTTTAAAAAACCTTTTGTGCTCTCATTAGTAAGCGTTTATAAGCCTAAAAGCTTCACATTTAACGTTTTAAACTCCTAAAATCTTTACACAACAACTAGTCTAACCAGAATATATACGGAGTACCACTTTGTGATAATATGCACAATATTATTTTATGTACCTATTTACATCAATGTTGGAATCTTTTCCAAAGATAAAATGAAAGTAAATGGATGGTTACTTTTTCTGATATTCACATCATAGTTGACATTTACCCCAACTTTTAGTGACAACATACCCTACCCTAACTTTTAATGAATTAAAAATAAATTCAATCTTTATTTTTCCATTAATTACATCTGGATTGAAATCTCCTCACAATCATAACTATTCACATCAAGCTTTAGTTGTTCCTCAATTCGTAATACGAAGTAACAAAAACAGGATGATACTCAATCCTTGAGGCTCCGTGGAACCGACATGATAGTTATTTGGGAGGTTGTAGGTTGAGCTTTGATCAATCTGATGGAAAAGGAGTTGAATTCAAGATCTCTACCTTGTGTCACCCTCTTTCTATCAGGTGAGTCACGCCCCCGATTACAATATGTAATAACAAAAATCTACTGTTTGGCGTGTCCATCCACGCCTCTTTTGGAGTTTAAAAACACTATGTATATACGGTGGATGTAGTTTGCAGATGTATGATACTCGCTGAATACCGTGGATGGAACAACTATATGGTTTCAATGTGTTGAGTATATTTTGATATGGTAGTTATCTATTCACTTTGTTCTATTTTGATGGGCGATTTAAATTATTGTTATTCTAAAAATTTTGGATTTTCATATTAGGTCAAGTAAAAGTGACTCCTGCCCAAGTTATTCTTATGGAGCTTAAAGTTCAAAAATTATACAAGTATATGTTCAAGGTAAAGTATTAAGTGGTCAAGAATATGTCCACTAGTTGGCGTAAATTCGTAATGGAAGTTCAAACTTTGAAGTGCTTGTTATGGAAGGATGCATCATGCAATTAGAGGTCGCAATGGGGCGGATCGGGGACGGGTACACACAAAACCGATACCGCCCCGTTGGATAATTGTTTGCCCCAAAACCGCCCCATTATCCGTTCGGGTAATTTTTATTTAAACCGTATCCGCCCCAACGGGGAATCGGTTTATCCAGGGGTAACCGTTTACCCAAATGATACCAAATAACAAATTTCTAATCCTACTTTTTATTTATATATTCAAAGCAACATAAAACATACAAAAATAAATATTTAAGCAATCAATCAGTTTTAGTCCTAAATTAATTAGTATGACAAACACCAAAATATCTCTTGAAAGTTGAAACATAATAAAAAATGTAATCATCCCAGAGTCCAAATTCAAAAAACAGGTTGAGGCCTATATTTAGTTTTAGGCCTAAAAAAGTAATAATCCATCGCAAAAAAAAAGACTGTTAAAAGCTGATATATATGATTTAGTATACACAATTTAAGACATACTTTTTATTCGTTTA